TTCCATCATCATCATGTCTTACCGCTTCACTCTTTTTCGTATCATTTTCTCACAGCTGCGGCTGTTTATTACCGTTAACATATGGGTCACCTGGGATGGCACTTTGGCATCATTTGCATGACAAGGCTGCAAATGTTTTCTCGATGCGCATTCAAATTGGGCAAATTACGGGCAGAAGTTAGAGCTCTATGCTCTATGGCATGCCTGGTGCCGTCTGTTGGCCAACCAACCGGCTGGAATGCCAAAAAGTGTGCTCTACTTACATAATGCAGGCCCGAAAGTCGAGCTGAGCTTGTTATGCAGCGCTCGATAAGTATGCTTTTGCACTCGCCTCGAGCAGGCCAGCATCATTTTGCATTTCGCATTCGGCTGAAGGTTTTCATTAGCTTCGTTGTTGGCGTTTGTGACGCCTTCTCATTTACGACTAACGAGGCAGATACTTGGATACTTATGCTGCTGTTATGGCCATATAACACCCGAAACTTGGCTATATATTTTAATACATACATACAGACTACTCTTCCTTTTTTTTTCAGAAATATTTGAGTACTGAGAAAAGTATGCAATGCAAAAACGAGTCCGAAATATGCCGTGCGAAAATTTTATGCTAGCATAGAAATATTTTCGCTAGCTTTTGCTTCACAGCAAACTTTGCCGAGCAGCTGAGGTTTCGCTTTACAGCAAATTGTTGCGTTCTTCCTAGCAGCCAGGGCAGCTCAGTGTGTGTGTGTGTGTCCGTTATCCTGTGCATAGTTTGGCACGTTATGGTCAGCAGCAGGAAATGGCACCTAGCGCCACTTTTATTTAGGCAAAGCTACTAAAATATGCCATAAAAGGATGCAGCTATCGCATAACTGCAGCACACACAGCCCAGCAAACAGTTCCAAGGTGCTCAACCACGAAAACCAACACAACTAAGTGACCGTAATGTTGCATTTTTACACATACACACACACACACACAAACATGCACTTATATTTGTATATATATGTATATACATATATACATAGCCGGGGCACATTTAGTTGTCTGGCAGCTCTAACTAGGTCTTGTGTTACTTTATGCGCCCAAGCCATGCCTGGAATGGTTGTAAACGTGGCTGAAATTAGAGCTAACCAAACAGATACACATACAAACACACACATACATGCCTGCATGTATCTCACAGATACATTTATGGGCTACTAGTTACCCGGTTACTGTGGTAAAGTTCTACTCGTTTT